ATATATATATATATATATATATATATATATATATATATATATATATATATATATATATATATATATATATATATATATATATATATATACAAGCTGTGCGAATGATATGTGATTAGGTCAGAAAATGTGCCTTTTTCCTAGTTTTTGGTAATAGAGTGTAAACTCGCCTAACAAATGAAGAATTAAAGCACTGAATTTTGGCAAATTTCATGTGCAAGTGTGATTTGCACTGAAAAGGCGACTCAGAAAAAGAGCATCAGAATAAACATTTTGCCATATATTTTGCTATAAAGGTTTTAAAATATTATTTTAGGTTTTTAAATATTTAAAAAACAAGTAAACATAGGAATCAAATTTTTCTATGATCTTCATTTCGAAACATAAAGCTTATAATTATTTTTAAACACAGTAATTTCGGTCGTTCAAAATTTTATAAACACAAAGAAACTTGTGCCAAAGAAATATCGCTGATTTACATTAAATTTCAAAGCATTTTTAAGTCGGTACATTAAATGTATTGGTTTTGTTAAATAGGAAGAAGTATTAGACGACATTTTAATATAAATTTTTTGCTCTGTTTTGCTTCGCAGTGAAATAATCGATATGTGGAAATAAAGGAATCGAAATATTACTGCGCTATTACTACTCAAAATATTAAACATTTTTAGTCAGTTAATCCAATTTTTGTGGTGATTTGCGGGCCTCAACATGCAGCTGCTGCAGAATTGTCTTTCCGAGCTATGCTTCATTTATGTTATTTATGTTTTTTTAAATCTACCAAGTGGAAACAGGAATATTTTCTTCTCCCGCTGAAAACCCAAGCAGGATTCGCGCATGCTCAGACAATTTTCCCACCTGTTAATATGGTAACGATGATTTTGATGATAATCGCAATAAACTATGGTCTACTGCGAACAACATGTATGGTAATTACGAGACATGGAGGAAATTGCTATACAAAATGACACGTTACCGTTCCTGTAATTTAGACATTAATCTTCCAAATATTTGCTTACCATTTTGATTTAACTGATGAGGAAGTTTCCAAACACTTTGATTCCCAAGGAGAAGAACTGTGTTACTGATATGAAGACGTACAGTCAACTTGTAGTTAAGGTCGGAATAAGTGCTAACATTTTCTTTGCCAATTACGGTTCCAAGAGCTGCTGTATTCGCCCTTTCTTCTACAAGTATTCTGTTTCCTACACTAAAATTCGAGTAAACAGACGGCAAAATGTACGGAACAATGTCTTTCGCTTGCTCAAGATTAAGAGTTTCAATAAAGCTGGGTGAATATCGATGCGATTCAAAATTGTCCAATATTTCTCTATCACTCGAGGAAAATGGAGGAGTATAAAAAGCCGTAATACTGCCGTCGCTGTTACATTTCGTTAAAGATTTGTAAAACATTGAAGATTTTGGGATCCACGCAGGGTTTCCTAAAACATGAAAAAAATTGCAATTATTTGGAGCAATTTGTATTTTTTCAAAGTCGGGGAGCGATTTGGAATCAAGTTTTGATGGTGAGTTGTGTTGGAACTGAAATTCGTAACATTCCAAATTGAACAGATATACAAAGCTTTCGGAAGGCTCCCTGCGTGGAAAATTCGTTGTTGTTGTCGCATTTTTTGTTAGATCGTACGTTGTTAGTGAAATTAAAAGTAGGTATATCCTATTAACCAATTTTAACCGTTTGTTTAGAACGTTTTTCACATTTTTAATTAACGTTTATAGTATTGTTTTTCAAAATGTTTAAAATCCTCAACTTGTCTGAAGTCGAAACTACAGTGTAATATGAATATTATATTTATTTGTGTAATGCCTAATATCAAGACTAATTACTTGCACTGCGCATTCAAATTGAATCGCCTAGCGTTTCATTTTTTATATAAAAGTTGATCCTTCAAGAAAAAGATCTTGGCGAAAAAAAATTACCAGTCCTGAATAGTGATTCCGTAATCAGCATTTATTTTCATTTTTAAAACAGCTCAAAATAAGTGCAATTTCAAAAAAGTTAGGGCAAAAAAATTTTGCCATTCTTACGATCTCAAATATACGGTATTTCCTGTCTTCAATATATAATCTCAAAACGATCACAAATATTAAGGAGGTCAAAATAAAAAAATATGTCAATCCACACGCATGTACATGTACATATACAGCCTGAAATTACACGAAACATTTATCCCACGCGTGGGAATGGTGTCGCAGGAAACGTGATACACCAAACAAATTGACTAAAAATTCATTATCGCGTTCCTTTCGTGAAAGCTTTTCAAATTTCCCCACCGGATGTAGTTCAAATAGAATAATTTCTGAATTAATTTCCATGTTTTGGTCTCCCGATTTTGTTTGAAAATGTTCTCGAGTTTGTATTTCATAATTTCCATACCCAGCGCAAGCAGAAATATAAAAAAATAATAATAAATTGATTGGCTGGGCCTTGAACCCGCGATCCAGACCCATCCGCGGCAGACAATATCTTTCTGCTTGCGCTAGGTATGGAAATTATGAAATACACACTCGAGAACATTTTCAACTTACGGAATGAACAATAACACAACATAATGTATATATGAAAATATATTGAAACATGAAACAGACTGTTGTGGTTTTTTGAGGTAAAACGAAAAACTATATTACGCTCTATCTATATGGTATTGAGCACTGTTTGTGTTTCGTTGCCACGACCATTCCCTAAAGAATTTATGAAATTGAAAAAGATTTTTTTGTCCAACTGCTTTCCAGCACATATAGTTGAAACAACTCGAGATCTGTGTCTCCTATATCTATATGCATATTCCACTCACCTTGTTGAAAACCGATACATGGTTCGGATGATAAATTAATCTCGTCAATATCAAGATAAGGCTGAACTAAATATTCAGGAATTAAAACATCGAAGAAAATCTAATAGACAAGGGAAAACTAAATTAAAAGAAATATGCATACCTAATGTAAACTATCAATACGGTTCACTATTGCATACAGCACATATTACCAGAAACCACAAGTTTTGGCCTTCTTGTTATACTACCACCGGTAATAGTAAACATTGATAGCGAGTGAGTTGGGAGGGCAACTATAAATATATAGTTTAGATTGTGAAGTCCTTCGAATGCTAGCTGAATAACTACGTATAACAAAGGTGCTTGTAGCTCTTTTATCACCAAGAAAACATTTGTATTTGCCGTATAAGTTTGGTAAATGTTTCAGAAATTTAGAGAAAACGGTGAACGAACTGAAATGGGAAGACCTGAAAAATCGTCCTCGTACCGCGCCTTTCTCGGTTTACGTCCAAACCGGCATGACTTACATGAAGTAACGATCATTAGTAACCTAAATATTGCCCACCCTTCCTTGCAATATTTCTTGACGAGTCTGCCTTTGCCATAACTGTTTATTTTGCACAGTTATAAATTGGGTAATTTCAAAAATATACTTTGTAATTAAACACAATAATAAAGAAGAAAATATAAGTAACCGCGCTTTTAACACAGCCTTTGGCGATTAATTATGCTAATAAGATCACAAGAAATACAAACATAAATCGTTAAAATTGTATGATTTTATGGGTAAATTCTACTTGTGTGGCAAGGACCACGATTTAACGAATAAACGGCGGTTGGTGTACCAGTGATTCTTACTGGCTTGAAATTGAGAACTAAGCTGAATTCCCAAGTTCGCTTCTCAACTTGATCGAATCGAAGACTTTCGAATATCATGCAAGCTAGTCGCCAAGGATACCAGCTTATTACTAATATCTGGTCACCGAGGACAGAAAAAGCCTCAAAACTTTAAAAAATAAAGTAACTGAACGCAAACTATATATAAGCTATAGTGGTTTGGGTCTTGAAGCTCTTCCCAACTTATCGTCTCAACATTCCCTGCAAGAGTTTAGTTCACAGTTTAGTTCTCCCAATTAAGTTTGGGGGAACACGCATTGGGGGGTTATGTTTGATGAAGCTAATAAAATCACTTAAATACCTTTGAATTCGTGTATTTTCTCTGCAGTGGCATTTCACTAAACACCCATTGTTCAGTGGTAGCTTCAAGAGTGTGCGACAATTCAATTACATTTCCATCGAACAGCTTTTGAATGGATTTCAATGACCCGCCCGTTACATTATGAAACTTGTACCAGAAGGTTATACACTGATATAGTGCTGTCATTTCTTCATTTAAAGTTATTTCAAGTCTTCCTGGAGAGTTCATTCTTAGAAAGTAATCTATAAAGTTACATAAGGACGTCTGAGACAATGTAGTCTGTCAACAATAATAAATAATAACAAACACAAAAAATAAATAATAACAGTAGCAGCAGCGGCGATAACGATAATAAATACCGTTGTTTATTACGCTCATTATTATTAGCATGACAAACTTACTGGATGCTGATTGGTTGAGAGCAGTACAATTATTTCATTTATTGACTGCAGTACAATTACTAATTTTCCCAAAACAAACAAAATGGCGGAAAGGTATTTTAAACACAGATGTGAAATGAAATTGCCCCAGAGGAACCAGATGAAAATACGAATAAAAGCACCAAAATTTGCTTTAACAAAAGAACTAAATGAAAATCCAAACAAAAGCACCAAATTTTGGTTGAATGTCTGTCAGGACTGGACTTTAGCGAGAGAATACAATGTTGAAATTGAGAAGTATCCAATTATGCAAACGAGTGTAAGCCAATCAGAAGCCTACGTTTCTATACGAACGCCAGTATCAAAAAACATATAGCTCCGTGCAGGACCTCCTTTCTTCGCGCCGCCAGTAACGCATAAGGGCCTGTTCGCAGGCTAACAGTCCAGCAGTTACAAGTATTTTTATTCTTAATGTACAAGTCAAATTAACCTTTATAGCATGTGAACCACGTAGGCTATATCCAGGTAACAAGATGCATGCATTTAAGCTGATTTGTCACCTGCACAATAATTAATCAAGTCATGATCTAGAAAACTCAGCTAAAGTAACAAAATTACTATTGTTTTCATGTAACATATCACAATTCATATATTCTGTATATCATTTTAAGAGTGAAAGTTTCCAGTCAACACAATTTATTCTTCCTCCTTCAATTACAGTTTTGAAAATATTACGTTTCGTGAACAGTACAGTATATAGGTACAGGTACAATAAATATTATTACAAACATCAAATTTCATCCATATATAAGCCTACCCCCCCCCTCATGCATAAGCGGTTCATGAGGTTTTCGGTTCTGCGTTTGTGAGCGAAAATATCCTTTATCCTTAACCGTGTCTATGTTACGATATTCTTCATTCTTTACAAACAGTAGAAATCGAACTATGTGTTATCCAGACTTGCAATCCACGACTCTCCAATGAGTAACCTCCAAAAAATTTCAAATTTGGCTTTTGGGTTGAACTTCTTGTCTGCTCAGTTGGTACTACAAACCGTACCATAACATTTGTAATTAATATAAATTATGCATAACTTCTTGAACATGCCATGTGAATGTGCAAAAGATGAGTTAGTATCTTGTAACATCACCACAACAAAGATTCCAACATAAGCTGAAAATATCACTAGTTCAGTACGTGCTGTAATAGCATGTACATTTTAATTTAGGTCAGCAATCGATACACATCTAGGCTACAGCCATGATTGAGCTGAATAAACTTTAAAACATATGACAATTTAATTAAATAATGTTTTTTAATGAAAGCCTATAGCTATTAAACTCATTGAGTCGCATTGTGCCCAACTTTATTATTTTACTCTGTCCAACGCCAGATGATTTTACTCGTCAAGGGAATACACAGCTGACACTTAGTGGGTTAACTAGCCTATCTGCCATGACACGTCTTACTTTATTATTTTTACTCTGTCTAATGCCAGACGATTTTACTTATCAAGGGGAGGAGAGCTTAATGGATTAACGGTATGGCTGGGATTGCATTATCCTAAGTGGTATCCGCAACAAACATTAGTGTTTGAGTGCTAGGGCTTGTGTTGGAAGCAGATCAGCTCAAACATATTGATTTTTACCACCAGAACTAATATCGCCTATAGGCGAGGCTTTTATAATAAACGTGATTATACCATTATGATTTTGAGACTGAGAGCAATAGTTTACTGACTTATAATAATAGATAATAACAATGTAAGTTATTGCAGGAGCAGTTTTTACCCAGTAACATATGACTTGATTGCAGGTGTGAGCTAGCTGGATAAAAGTCAATCCAATTGTAATGCCCATTTCATACAAACCTCCAGTCTCGATGAAACCAATACTATTTATGTCTATTTAATCAACTGATCATCTTGTACTGGACGTTACAGGTTCATTGACTGATTATCAAGTATGGATTTTGATTAGTCAATTGAGAAAGAACACTCATGCAATTTCAGTAATTCTTAAATTCCTTGATATATTTTAATGTTTAGTTGATTGTCAAACTTGAAAATGTAAATGCAATTACAGTATATGTCTCATTAATTAAATTCAAGGAAAACTTCCCAATAGTAATACAATTGGAAGTAGTTTTTCAGAAATCTTGTGTAGGTCAACAGAAGTTTATTACAACCACACAGAAATACATAAACCAAAACAATGGAGTTTTCATCTTGAGTAAATTACTACAGCACTAATCATCCTTTGAAGTTATCCAAATGATAATAAATTGACAAATTGGCTTTGATTGTTTCGATTGATAGATTGCATTTTGAATGACCAATTTTCATTGGTTAACTACGCCTTATTCTACATGCATGGCGAACACCCAAAAAGCAGATATAATGACAATACTGTATATATAATTATTACACTATAGCCATGCATACTTATAAGCATATATGATGACAAAAAGCTCGAAAAACTAATAACAACACAGTTCAATACCTTTAGTTTAAAATTATATTACAGGTGGTTAAAACCAGACTTAAGCAAATCTCAATTAAAATTGAAACAGTTTGGTATGTTTTGGGTCGATCTACTCAAGTAATTTTTCAAGCTTTATTTACATGTAATACATGCAGTAATAGTGGTACTGAAAATATCCCTGGATTTTTATACTTGTATAACAAATTGTATATTTTCTAGGTTTAAGTTACGCCTTATACAGTTACGTTTTAAGTCTGAATGATGAATTAAAGACATTAAATTATCCGATATCGTGGAAAGAGGTGCTCTGCTTGATAACAGTTATAAATATTCACGCAGAGACAGAATGCAGAACGAATATCTTCACCTCTAATATCGCAACTCACCTCAGTACTCAGTAACTCTCAATTGTGGGTTATTTTCTAGACTATCGAACAGTTTCTTTTCTTGAATTTTTCACATTAACAACAGTTCTTTTCTATGTATTTTTGCTTTTGAAAATATTAGACAAACACATAATAATACAATTAATAACATTTTGCAGATTTGTGCGCGCTAGGCAAATAGCTGGAACTAGTGTTGTTGGGCCAACAAAAATCCAATGCAAATCCACTATTCCTAAAACATGACTCGTGTGTGCTGCTAGATGCCACGTTGTAGTAATTTGTCTGTTTCTCTTAACTAAAGGAATTTCAAGTGATGGTGCTTGTTGATAAAGTTGATTGTAATTCTCGACATGGTCACACTCAACACCTCTAAATAGCCTGGCAACAGATCGTAATAACATTTATGTGTAAATTTAGTGACATTAAACTGTGTGTTCTTCAATTTAGGATCCAGGAACGTTTAGGAACGCCTATCTATGTAATTGTCTATTTTCCCTATTCTTCGTCATTCAAAAAAAAGTTTTTTGCTCATTTTCGTAATTTAGCCCCCTCTTGAATCAACGTCCTTAAAGGAGATTAGAATGAATAGAAGTCCGGGAAGAAGGAATAAATACACGAATTTTATCGGTCCGGTCACACATACTTAACATGACGCTACTCGACGCTGCCTTCGTTTCCCTTGGCAGCAGAAGTCTTCTTGTATTCCAGTGAATATGATTAATAGAAGTTATTACAATACAAGCATGTTTGAAACGACTAATTTATAACAAGTAGGGAAAATATAACGTATTAGAATACAAGAATGCACTTTCGCTTACTCATTTCCATACCTTGTAGTATGAATTTGTTTGTGGTGTTCACTAGCGTTCTGTTCCACAATGGGGGAATTGTTTTCCAAGTACAAGGCTTTTCAAATGAACAAAATGGCGAATTATCTGTAACAAAATACAAAGATGTCATTTCTTCCTGACTTTACATGAATGCACATAAAGTAGGAAATATTTGGAAGGAAATCTAGAAGCAGTGTCACCAAGTTTCAAACATTTAAAGACGAACTAGACAGTTTTCTTCCTCCTGGCAGTTGTGTACGATTGGCGAGCATATTCTGAAATAGAGATTGTAAATTTTAAAAAGTGTACGTGCGGTGTAGTGTTTCTTAAACCGAATGGAAGACATGACATATTAGACAAAGACTGCTTGTGAAGATGAGGATCGATTCCAACAAGTTAGCCTGTAATTGAATTATTGCAACCGCTTTCGGTCAGATGTTGCAAATATGATTTCTTCTAAATTCTCGTCTCAGTACCATTGTGCTATGAATAGACGTGCCTAAAATCTGCATATTCCGCACGATCAATCTTTTACAAATACATATAGTACCCTTTATACCGGCACAAAATATAATATGGGTATGAGTACGGTGTAACACGGGTCGTGAAAAACAGTTTTACCACCATGCAACGCAGGGGATCTCATCAAGCGCACGCTACTTGGCACTATATGCCAACAATTCACACGAATCGCCCATCCACACGGTACATCAGGAGATTCGCACAAATAGTGAACAAAACTTTGTAACTCAACAGGCAAGCATCAGCTCGTCAGACCTCAAATTATTTTGCTTGTCGTTATATACAAATATATTTTTAAACATTTTTAGAATTTTGAGCCAAAACCTGTTGTCGGCAGACAAGGACCGTAACAAAACCGACATGCGCACTATACAGGTGGATTGTTAAACATTTGTGCGGTTGGTGTAGTGAGCAAACCTCTTCAAGAGTACGGTCAACACATCCGTCCGCTAATTCACAATTCATGGCCTACAAACCGCGCGAATGGTACTCAGTATTTACCATCTTCATGACGATCTGAATGATATCACTGGATAGTACTGGACAGCCAGCGTCAATGCAAATAGAATGAACATACTATATATTTTATATTTGGATAGCTAACGTCGCATTTTGCTTAGCGCTTTTAATTACATGTCCATCACATTTGTGTCCGAATGAATGAACAAACTAAACAGATAGTTCGACTTAACACTTGGTTTGTTCGTCAGCAGCGTTAACACTCATCTAAATTCATGCAGACAAATCATCGAATTAGGGTAGACATCGAACGAACTTTAAAATTCAATATAATTACCATTTTCTACTTCAGAACAATGTTTGCCAATCAAAGAAAAATCATCAAGCGCAATATCGCCCTTCCATCCACCTGCAACAGCCTCAATCATTAACTATACAAATACAGAAACAGAGTTTTGATATTTACTATTTGGTGCATGACGCTTACAGAACTCCGATACATGCGCACAAGTTCCACAATCAGACATGTGACAAAACGTGGCTGCCAAGAGTGAAATCCTACTCTCAGTCACGTTAAGCTGTGTACTTCGTAATTCAGCTCAGCATGGAACTGCGGTCTATAGCTATAGCACGTTCACTTGTATATCGGTAAGCGTATGCACGACTGAAATTCTTCTATTGCAGATTTCAAAATATATACACTGTATTGGGATAATCATATAGAGCGTTGTGACTCAAAGGTATTTATAGGAAAAACTACAGTACATGCCCTTCAGTAAGGGTTGACTCCGAATTTAAATGTCAAAAAATTGCATATCAAAATTTTGAATTAAATTCTCTATTTGAGTGTTCACCTGTAATTACAAAATGCGTTAAGATTGACATTTACGGCAGACCGGTAACCACAAACGGCAAATTTCAATTCGCATTTGAAGGTAACTTCTACAAGTTTTCTACAAGTTTTAAGTTAATTCCATCTTCAGTTTTAATGCAAAAATTGTCCTAACTTCGAACAGCTACAGTTGATTTCAAAATTGGACATGAGGTTGGCAGTTACCACGGTTTGCTGTAAACGTCAATGTTAACTTCTCTATTATGAAAGGGCTGAACCCGGTATTAAATGGCTACAAACTTAAACTCAGAGATCCCAAGGATAGTGCAAAGTTGATATGACAAATGATAATTAAGATAATTTATTTTAATTCGCATAATGTATGAAATAGCTCCATGGCATACTGTGCTACAGTAACGGTGGAAATTGTTCTTTATATTGGACAAAATGTATAATTTTATTAGAAAATTACAAATACACGAAATTTCCTCGGTGTTCAATAGTTCGCACAGAATATTACAATTTCTACTGACTGGTTGTTTCATCGAGGTCGATTCTTGAAGAATAATAAACTGCTATTGTTTGTCGAGAGTCTGAACGTTACTTTTCCGTTATAAAATTGATGCTTCTTTTAAGGAAGTTGTTTGGCGTTTGGTGTATTTGGTGTATTTACATATTATTTAAGGAAGTTGTATGGCGTTTGGTGTATTTATATATTACAAGGCACAACAGTAAATTTTGTTGTTTTCGCGTGGATAATTTTTAATGCCTTAATTATTCCTTGAATGGTGGCTTTAATCAAGATCTTTTTTCTTTGCTTTTAATTCAATTTTCTACCCATTTTCCATTGCACATTTAATAGAAACAAAATAAACCGCGTTAACCGCCTTCGAAAATCGAAATGAATTTATGAAACAAAAATAAACAGCCTGCAACAAATTGTTGTCAACAGACATTCGAAATCATTTCCAAATTTAGAAAGCCAATGAGAAAACTGGACGGGTTCAAATAGATTGCGTGCTGGCCACGTGCGCCTTAAGTTGTTTCTTATATATCTTATTCTTGCACTTGGGAAATGGAATTTTCTATTCAATATCACGTGACCATAAACAGCCAATTAAACGATCAGAATTCAATAAGGTATTATATAATAGTCTTTGTAATACCCTATATATAGGTGTGAACTTTTCATTCACAAAAAACGAAAAGGAAGAATATGCTTCAGGTATAAAGGAAAGTTCCGAAGCGGGTTTGCGGAAACGTCTAGAATATTCCCCGATTGTGTCCTGTATATGACCAAAAACAAACATAATTTTCCCAAATGAATTTTGTACTTACGTAGAAATTTTCCCCTGATCCAACATCGAGCGACGCTTTTTCCCAGTGATCAATGCCCCAGGTATTTCTGGTCCAAAGAAGTTCTATATTCGTTCTGTTCCACCACATTCGATACACACTCAATCCACCAATGTGTTCGCCAAACATATGATAATAGAATATGAAACACAAATTTTGGTCAGCTTTAAATGGTCCAGCTTCGATGATTGCTTTGTCTCCTTCCTTTGCTGGATAACTGGTTTCGATATAGATGTAGAAACCTAAGAATTATATTTGCAAAATGTTGACTGAGGCATAGCAGATGCCACGATAACAATATAAACGGGACGTACGTTATACGGACGGTACAATATGGTACGGTAATATACAGTACTGTACGATATGTTGTGGTATGTTATGGTATGGTATCCGCCGTTTTTTAATGCGGATAATTTCAAAGCTAAGCGATAAAACGCAAATTCCAGCTGCAAATTATTCGAAAATTTTATATTTTATAGGATTTATTGAAATAAGTCCAAAAAATTAAAAAAACAGGCTCACCCAAGGCTTTATTTATGACCGTAATTTTCGTGTTGAAATACGCGTCTAAACCGGCAGTAGTAAAAATGTATGCGTTTTGATTGGCTTAGCGCCAAAAGGTAAACAAATCTTCTGATTGGTCGAGAACAATATTCGCTCTTGTTAACAAAGGAGAGCTAAAGTATGATATAAGGACTAAAACCTCACATTTTTAGCAAAATAATGGAATATATAAAGATAACAGCCACTGTGTAATATAAGATTAAATAAATTTTATTACTTTTCCACTAAAGTTGGAGAAAGTGGCATTAAAACTTTTATAAAATTAATATCCTACCTGTGCATGAAATGAAATAGTAATTTCATCGTTCGATGGTATTCTCCTATATTCCAACAGTTGCATGCCGCGCAAGTGTGGCATCGCATGTAGTTTTGAATAACAAAAATAAACCCAGGTGGCACTTGCTTAATATTTTATAAAAAAAATTAAATCAGAACGCTTTAAAACAACCGAGAGTCTCGCAGAACGCTCGAAAACTAATGTGTTTATATAGCAAAACATTTTCCTGCGCTTTTTTTGGCCCCCTGAGCATCCATCTTGGATTTTGAAATTGTCGCGCCTCTCGAGCCGAGTCGGCGATCTTGTCTCCTATATCTATGGTAATACTACCTTCAGCACTGCCGCGAGTATGATCCACTTTTGGTCCAGTATCCTCGGAGGGAGTATCGCCTTTATGAAGTATCCAATCCAAATCATCATATCCCTCAATAACCTGATGCCATTCACAAAACCCATTTTCTTCAAAGTCACAATTACCTAATGAACACATAAACAAAAACAAAAATGCCAAGTAAATAGTATATTTATTGTTTTATTTTCACGCAGCATAAAATCAAAGCAAAATGGAGCAAAAATGAGTGTGCTAGGTATTCACCTAGACATCGCCAGGTAGCCCAGTGAAACGGTGTCCGTGCAAAACTATAGTAAAATAAGGCGTAATTCAAATAGCATGATATACAGCTATTTCAATTAAGGTTATATATTTCAGAAAGGTTCTAAAAGCTTAGCATATTTCCAAAATTGTTGAGGTTTAAGAGAAACCTAAGTAACTTAAAGCACCTCACCATCAATATCATCTTCACAAAATGTTCCGTTTCTTAAATTGTCCAAGCAACCAAGGTTATTCAGACTACAATATTCGTTGACTATAAAACGCAAGGATAAATTTAAAGGACACGATGAAAATGTTGGATATATTACAAGGGTTTCAAGAACAAACGAAAGAAATGGTTAAAAACGTAATAGCATAGTTGCCCGGGTTTCTTTTCAACAGGGTCGATTGTTAACTAATCGCCCCTTGGCAAGGGTCACACCTTTTGTCTCCCTGCTGACTACGCATTAGCGCAGAGTAGAGACTACACAAAGGAAGAACTGTATAACAAAACGCTAATATCTGAGTGTAACCAAAAGCTCAGCCAGTGCGCTAATTGGAGAAGCATTCAGCCCCCCGGAAAACTTACAAAATGGCGGGCCATTTGTTACTAAAAAGACCGCAAAAAATTGTTTCGAAATCAAGGTTATGTTTTAAAATATAGCCGATTTTTGTTGAATTATTTTTGTTTTCAAGTTTGCCTAAAGGAAGGCGTAAATCTGGGAGAGATTTGTAGCTTCTTTTCTTTTTTTTTCAACACAATTCTTTTCATATGAGCGGGAATTGTAAATATTTTGCCATATTTTGGTTGATTGGCTTAGCCTGCTTGGCTAGTTTCGCTTTAAAACACCTGTAAAATTTGTGTAATCTTAAGGTACAGCGTGAATCTTTTGACTATTAAAAACTTAACACATTCATGCTATTTTGAGCTAAATGTCTGATAGTCAGGAGTTAAGAGTGCAGGGGGGGGGATTACATTAGCAATTGTCATGTGAATTCAGAATATAGTTAAGCTTAATGACTTAATCTGTTTTCACAACTTTACTAAATTTATATTGATATTTTACAGTTGTATTTAAAGCTTGTAGAGTAGTTGTTAAATTTATAAGCATTCAGCTGTGTCTGATTTATATATTTTGTTGCTATTTTGGCTGCAGTAACACTGTTGTTTGTGAACGCTAATAATAATTGGAATTTGACGGTTACTTAGTTTATTTTATTGTATATATGAAATAATATAGTGACATTCTCTTGACATTCTTTTCCAAAATAATTTCTATATGTATCAGTCAATGTTAAGCATGCACCTAAATAGGAGGACCGGTCACCCATGGCCTCGTAAAAGACTAACTAGAACATAGGCTAATCAAGTAATAACTATTAAAAATGCCTGCCCAAGACACAAAATTTTTGTCGAGTCTATATATAGAGCTGGAAGACTACCCCCCCCCCCCCCCCCCCCCC